TTAATGCAAAGTTAGTTCCTTCCCCTGTTGTTATCTGATTTCAGAATTAGGCACTTCATATGCAGATTGAAAGTGGAAGAAAAATTTGGGAATTGAAATTATACCCCATCCCTCTTATAACTGATTTCTGTAATAATTATATTTGGATCATTTTAAAATTGACATGTTTAAGTAAGGCACATAATTAAATATTTTTACTTTGTTATACTAGATGTCAGTGTTATATTCGAATGTAACCCCTTCCAGGATGGTCGAATTAATGTAACCCCATCTTTATTGGGATGGGGTCATTAAGGTTTTGTCATTCTACACATTTATGTTGTTTATAAATATGATTAAATGACAGTTTTCAATTCATACATGTGTTTGTTTGTCTTTCCTTCATCCCATCAAACAGAGGAAACCTGTGTTGACAAAAAGACTTTTAATTTTCTGAAATTTGTTCTGTAAAAGATTTAGGTCAACGGAAACGAGAGCTTCAATATGTTCAATAAGTCATCCTTTTACATTCGTACAAACACAGTTAATAGGCAAGTACACATAAAAGTTTTATGCATAATATGTTTATCATAACTGCATGTTAAATATTTTTGTTTATGTTTGTTTATGTTTGTTTATATTTATTTTATCAATTGCTTTGATATTAAAATGTACGATCTTTACAGAATTATACAAGATAAGATACAATAGACAATACAATATTTATTTTCTGAAATTAATGGTGTGTACAAACTGGTTACTTTTGGAGACGCTGCCACAAGTTAAATACTTTCCTTCAATCATAATGACCCGTGCCATTCAAAGCATATTATCCGTTACAAGGAGCTCGGGTGAGCAGCTGAGACATCAAGTACCCCACCCTTTTCGTATATTTTGTTTGTCAAAAATATATACCTTGTCATATATCAATTACCAAAAATCAGACCTATAGATATTTTTGGATATTTTTCATATTCTGGTACATTAGTATATAGAATTGTTTTGGGGTCCTGCTCATCATCACGTTCATGTTTAGAAGCAACGCAGTCGCAATAATAACACCTTGCTTTTCCAATAAATTCGTCACATCTTAAACAGTTTCCTCCATTTACCCCATTTACATCTTTCATTATGAAGAAATGTCAATTTCAAAAGACAATATCAGATGTTTGGTCAGATAAATGTAATAAAACCCAAGAGAGTAACACTTTCACTGAACTGATTAAAAGTTACATTGCCATTCCCTCTTAAAGGACGCTGACACTATGGAATTTCTTTAAATAATTGTTATCATGTTTCATGAATGTTAATAGTAATTACGTGCAATTGTCAAAATGATCTGATTTATTGCATCTATAACTAGCATCAGTTGAAATACCACATTGGAATAATAGGGTTTAATTGTATTGACAAATATAGCTGTGGTTTAACCGCATCAAAAATAAATACGGACATCTGATTAGTTTCAGATACTTATGATATAATCAAACAACTATTGATATACATGTATTTATTTAATCTTAATTTCTCACCCTTTTCATATATCAAGGAGCATGAAATAGCTAGTGACCTATTCCAGCGGCTTATCCCTACCACTCATTACATAATTATTGCCACCCTCCCCCGAGAACAGGACACTCTATGGTAATTTAGTTTGTTGTTTAAAACTTTCATTAAATTACCAGGGGTACATCTTACGGCAGGTTCACCATTCCACTTTATATTGCTAAACACTACTTGTGGTTTTTAGTACACATTTCTCAACTTTCCCTCACCCTTTTTTTCTAAATATTGTGTGCGTGTCAAGATGAAGCTCAGACATACATTTTTGTAAAGATGTGAAATTCATTATATGCATATCCGAATGAAAATCACAGAATGTTATGGGGAAAACATTCAGATTTGTATATCATGTTCGTGAACCTTGTTCGTGACTTTATATATTTTTCTAGATATTCATTTTAAAATTTAATTTCCCGCCTACGATAGAAAGGGGCATTCTGTTTTCTGGTCTTTTCGACCGTCTTCCGTCGCACTTTATACATATTTCATACAAATGAATAACTAATAGTTTCCTGTTGCAAAGCTGTTTAAATAAATATTAATCCGTTTGCTACTGTTGACGACGAGTGTGGCTTACCACTCCTTTAGTTACTAACTTCCACATCATTTGGTCGGGAGTATATTTGTCTCATTGACAATCATGCCCCATATCCTATTTAGCTCACCTGACCCAAAAATGCCAAGTGAGCTTTTCTCATCGACGTCGTCGTCGTCGTCGTCCGTTAATTTTAACAAAATCTTCTCCTCTGAAACTACTTGGCCAAATTAAACCAAACTTGGCCTAAATCATCTTAAAGTTAGGTTATCTTGTTTACAAAATGTATCTGATGACCCCACCCATCAACCATGGCTAAAAATAACACATGGGGGTAAAATGCAGTATTTGGCTTAATATATCTCTGAAACTAAAGTTGACTCAAAAATTTTACATGGGGTAAAAATGTTCATCAGGTGAAGATCTATCTGCCCTGAAATTTTTAGACGCATCAGAAAACCCGTGTTAGGTTGCTGTCCCTGAATTGGTAATTTTAAGGAAGTTTTGCAGTTTTTGGTTATTATCTTGAATATTATAATAGTGAGAGATAAACTGTAAACATCAAAATTGTTCAATAAAGTCAGATCTACAAATAAGTCAACATAAATAAAATTGTCAATTGACCACATAATGAGTTATTGCCCTTTAAAGTCAATTTTTCACAATTTTTCGTAAATTTTTGTAATCTTTTACAAAAATCTTCTCCTCTGAAACCACTGGGCCAAACTAAACCAAACTTGGCCTTGATCATCCTAGGGTATCTAGTTTCGAAAATTGTATCTGATGACCCCACCCATCAACCAAGATGGCCGCCATGGTTAAAAATAGAACATGGAGAGGGTGTTAAATGCAGTTTGGCTTATATCTCTGAAACTCAAGCATTTAGAGCAAATCTGATATCGGATAAAATGTTTATTAGGTCAAGATCTATCTGCCCTGAAATTTGCAGACACATCAGACAATCCGTTGTTGGGTTGCTGCCCATGAATTGGTAATTTTATGGAAATTTTGTAGTGTTTGGTTATTACATGTATCTTGAATATTATAATAGCTGAGATAAGCTATAACAGCAAAACTGTTCAGCAAATTAAGCTCTACAAAAAAGTCTGCATGATCAAAATTGTCAATTGCTCTCTTCAGCAGTTATTGCCCTTTAAAGTCATTTTTTCACAATTTTTCGTAACTTTTTGTAATCTTTTACAAAAATCTTCTCCACTTAATCTACTAGGCCAAATGGAATTAAACTAAGCCACAATTTTCAATAGGGTATCTTGATTAAACCAACCAAGATTGCCGTAATGGCGTAAAATAGAACATGGGGAGGGGGGGTTACTAGAGAAGTCTATGGGAAAATTGTAAAAAAAATCAATTTCAAATAGTCACAACTTGAAAACTAATGTAAATAATGATAAGGGGTCTTCAGAAACTATTGTAAGAAAACAATGGGATGACCTGCTTTAAATTTAAATGCTGGGCCGAATTAAACCAAACCGTTGCCTTAATCATTATATCTATAATAAATAAATATACAAAGGGTATCTAATTTATTTACTATTTATTATGATTTTAATCTTTTTTAGATGATTTCAAAAACCACCGTAGATACAGGTGAGCGACACAGGCTCTTGAGGGCCTCTAGTTTTATGTTGCGTTAAAGTTAAAATTCATGTTTGAGTTAAAAATCGAATGAGGCTTCGAGGATTGAGAAAGAGTTTGTGTCAAAGTTCATGTTACAATTCGAGATTTATTGCTAGTAAATCTTCGAGTAAAATTCGACTCGACTCAGAGTCAAAATTGGGGTTAGTGTTAGTGTCTGAGTTTTAGTTCGAGTTATGCAACGGTAGTTTAGAAAAATAATTTTAATGCAAGCTTTGTAGGAAGAGGTTTTAAATTATTTTAATTGTCTCTAACACGTTTAACTGGTATCTTTGGGGTACAGTCACTACGTATACTTATAATTGTCATAACAGGCTGGAAGCAATTGAACAGGATTTTTAGAATCTACGCTTATATGCCTTATCTAAACATGTATTTAGATTTTTGATTTGGGCCCAGTTTTCAAGTTGGTCCAAATCGTGGTCCAAATTTTGTTTGATTTAAAAAAAAAATGAATATATTTGATTCTTTGATATACTGAATCGAAACGTGTGTTTAGACTTTGGGTGTTTGTCCCCGATATCAAATTGGTCCACATTGAGGTCCAAAGGGTCCAAATTAAACTGTTTCGTTTCATCAAAATTTGAATTCTTGGGGTTCTTAATTTGATATACTGAATCTAACCATGTACTTAGAATTTGAATATTGGACCATAATTCAAATGTTTAAGTTCTTACACTACATTCATTCTTTGTCAGAAACCTATGCTGTGTCAAATATTCAATCACAATCCAAATTCAAAGCTGAATCAAGCTTGAATGTTGTGTTTCTAGTTGCCCTAACTGTCAAGGTACAACCTCTGCGGTCGTATCAAACTGCACTTTGCAGAGCATTTTTTCCCTTCGAATTTGCGCTATGCGATTTCCAGATTTGTAACGAAAGGTGTCATGTTTGAGGTCACTGATTACGGAAAAGTTGTCTGCGAATTAGAGTACGAGAAGACAATAATTTAATAGCAGTACATTTCCGAAGATCGTCATAGAAAAAAGGGATTTTCTTCTGAAATCAAGTCTTTGTACATGTGTATTTTTTTAGTTAAAGTATATTCAAGTATGTAAAACATTTCATCTGTTTTGTTATTAGATTTGAAGGATCATATGACTTAAATTTAAACTTCATGATTTGCCATGTAAAAAAAAATAATTTGTGTTTGTAGTAATTATGAAAGGGGGTTTCCCATACAGGTAATTTGTAATGTTTTACCCTTTTATCAAATATTGTTGAAGTAAAACCAATATATCCCCTTATAATTTTCTAATTCAGTTCGGACAAAATGGCTGCAGTACTTCAGGAAAAAGAACAACATCCAATCGAAAGAAGAGCGCTTCCAGATGGCAAGAAGTTCCATGTGTTTATATCCTACAGTGAATGTGACAGATCATGGGTCGAAACAGTAATACAACACTTACAAAATGATTACAATTTCAAGTGTTTTAAACATTCAACAGATTTTATACCAGGAAGAAAAATAAGAGAAAACATAGAATATGCAATACTGAATTCTGTGAAAACACTATGTGTTATAACGGAAGACTATAATCAGAGTTTCTGGTGTCAATTTGAAGTAGAGTTTGCAATACTAAAGTTGCTAGCTGAAATGAAAGAAAATGTCATCATTCCAGTTTTAAAGGAGGAATGTGAGATACCTGGTTATCTTAAACCATTTACCTACATAAATGGCACTGGAGATATGAACGTCTGGCTTCCTAAGCTTGCCTCTGCCATTGAGTTAGAAGGTATTATATCTTAACTGCAGTACAAAAATGTAGGTTCATAATCCTGTTTGCTTTTTTTTTTCGCATAAACATAAAATATTTTAAATATTATTATAGGGTAGGAATAAAAAAGAAGTATCATGAATACTGATCAAAGAACCACACAATATAAATGCTAAAATTGCAAGTAGATTTTGCAGTTGTATCTTCCAGATACATTATTTTAAAGGTCTATATTATGATACAACCACCAACACCAATTTATAAGACAAATTGTATATATCAACACGATACATTAAAACAGATCAATACGTCATGTACGTCAGAACGCGTTTCAATCTTCGGGGGGAAGGGGGGGGGGGGGGATGTGCGACTTCATGTCTCTTTTAAAACGATGTAATGAAATTTCAAGCGCCACAAGTCTGAATTGAACCCTCAGCACTACAATCATCGGTCTTAACCACTACACCACGAACCTTCACATCGCTATTGAGTCCACTGTAACTTGACTCGAAGCTCTCTATGGGTGTTTCGAATAACGATGTAATCCACCAGTACATACATACAGGGTATCCCATGATGGACATTATTGAACGTATATTTTTTATGTGACTAATTTATTTATTTTATTTCATGAACATATATATATGTTTTTCAGGGGAACAATATAACCATGAATTAGCATTAAACCGAGTAAGAAATGCAGGTAATTTAATTTTAGTTGACCAATGAAAGTGCAGTTAATATTATGTTACCGATATTACTGTCGGGTCGTTCTCTTAAGGACGTTGCTACTCTTGTGATTGACTTTTTGTCAGATATTCGGAATCCTCTAGATTTACCCATGTACTGTCAATAAAATTTTTGCCTGCTAACCCCTTCTTTTCTTTTCAAAATTTTATTGCATATAGTTAAAAAAAAACATTTTTGAAATCTTATAAAATGTCTGTTATCTTTTTAAAAGTTTTTGAAAGGAAAAAGGTGTCAATGTTAAATATATAAAAAATCTAGAGAGAATCATTTCCCGCCATATTTTCAATTGAGTATGATTATCTCAAAAACAAGGACACGGACCTACCATTTATTTCTACTTTTTAGTTTCCTTATTAATATTTTATCAATTTATAACAGTTTCTTTGTTAGCTTGAAAGAGGAAGATATTTAAAAGTGCCCAGAGATCAAAGAATTTGTGAAATCTGTAAAAGTGGCGAAATTGAAAATGAACAGCACATGCTGCTACACTGCAGAGGTTACACCAGTATCAGAGACTTTTATATTAAAAATGTCCAAAATTACAGAAAAAAATATAACCACATTGTGCAATAAATATAGAATAAAGCTTATACTTAATAATAAATCTTACACAGCACTAAAACTATCTTCCTCTTTCGTAACAAACTGTTTAAATGCAAGAAGTAATCTATTGCAATAGATTTTCATTTTGTCTTTATTTTTTTTATTTTAGGAACGACTGTAATATTTTTTCTGTCTATGAAGAAATAACATCAAAAATGTGGTGCACACTGAATATTTTAAAGTGTGCACCACATTTTTTATTTTATTTCGAATAGATTTCTTATTTAATTCTAAATTCCAATTTAAACCGTAGTAAACCATGAAAAAACGTTGATGACGTCACGGTCACATGACAAAATTATGTCTATGAGCTGATAAACAAAACAACGTCAGCCAATCAGAAGACGCGTTGCATCCAAAATTAAATTATTCACATATACATGTATATAATTGTTTGTATTTTACTACCACGTTTATCCATTCGGTCATTACCATTTATTGTAAATGCGTTTGTGCCAATAAAATATTGTCTATTGTATATTGTCTATTAGCTTGTTATTTTCAAACAGAGGATCGAACATCCCTAACTCTTAACCCTAGTTGTCGATTAGAATGCAGAAATCATCGAAAGGGACATAATAATTTGTGCCACTACAATCAGCGACGGTAAAACGTTGTCGAAATTGATTGCCAAACTGACTTTTGGAAGCTGTCACGTTTCAATTGTGATTAATTTTGTATGTTTTTCTAATATTAAAACTTTGATACATCACATCTGATTGTAACATTACTTTTATTTGCAATTATTGGTCATGACGCTAATGGTTATCAACAGTTTTTTTGTTTGGCGAAATTGAAAAAAAAATGGAGTTGCTTATCGGAAAACGAAAATGAACGTTGAGTTTAACATTTTGTAACAGTATCTTTAATGAAGCCAAGACATTTGTTTTTAAAATGCTAATACTTATAAAACCATAATTTTGGTGACTTAAATACTTAATTGAATTGAACCAGATATTGTTCATACTAGTATTACATCACAAATCTAACAATAATGAGCAGTAAAATTTAGACAAATAAAATTTCAACGTTGAAGAAATTTTCCTAGGCTGATTTTTAGTCATTTTAATGTTAATAAGATATACAATAGTGAATAAAAACATGAAAACAAAAATCAAATTAAACTAAATGATCTGCTAAATATTATGATAATCTCTTTTGGACTTACTTTATTCCTCATTTGCATATATATTTCTATACTTACAGTGAACAGAAATCGAAACTTAGACATGAAGAGACACGCCATATCAGTTGTAGCGGACCTGTTTTCAGGTGGAAGTATGTTCCAGAATCTCTTAGTATAGCACCAATGAAGGTATATATTTGTACAAAAAACTGCAGATTTTTAGGTGTGGGTATGTTGATTAATTTTATGTTTTCCGTGCAGTATATTGTGAACTGTAATATGAAATTGTCCATTCGTCGTATTCTTTTACCCATGTTGTTTCTGTCCGGGCCTTTGACCTGACTTTGATCTTTGTAGCTCAATTGACCCAAAGGGTAATTAATAAGTATGAGGTATATATTACCAACATGTCCGCAAACACCTAAATTAAAATGCTCCAGGGGTAATATGTGAGTTGTCATGGCTAATATCTTGAACACCTTCATAGATAGATAAAAATCTTGAATGGGTCAAAAATGTTCCTTATCGTAAGATTATTATAACCTTCTGTCCATTTTGACAAAAATTGTCAGACGACTACTATAGGAGGTGCTGCTAAGAAAAACAAGCAAGCAAGATAAGATAAGAAAAGTTAAATGACCAAAGTCGGCAGTCGTCTCCTTGTAAGGTTACTGTCCTTTAATGGAACGTTTACTATTTTGTGTGTTATGTCTATGATCTTGTTTTTATAAAAGATAGAGTGAAACTATAAACATAAACAATAATCAGCTAGACAAGATCTACATATAAGTCAACATGGCTGAAATCATCAGTATACCCCTTAAAGAAGTTATAGCCCTTGAATGACGATTTTTACGAAAACAAAAATATCATTTTTAGTTGTTTTAACATAATTTAAATGACAATGTTTACCCATTTTTGACGTTTCTGCCAATGATCTTGAAAGTAAAATAGATCGAATGAAATTTTAAAAAGCAAAATTGACAAAATGGACAAGATGTAAAAATAATTCAAATTGCGAAATCATATACATCTCATTGTACACATGTTTAGGTGTTACTGGCTTTTGATAACGATTTTATCATTTTTTGAGTTTTTGGCGAAAATTTTAGTAGATAGAGGGAAACTTTTAACAGCTAAATATCAGAAAAACAAGATCTACAAATACTAATGCAATTGTTTCAAATCATATATAGACTTCTTACAGGAGTTAGTGCCCTTAAGTGATTTTTTTTACCAATTGTAATGTTTTTTCGAATATCTTGAAAAACCATGATACACTGAAACTTTAAAATGCAAAAATGATCAGCCATACTTTATCTACTGATTTACAGGCTCCTGACTTGGAACAGGTACATAAAGGATGTGGCGCGGTTAAACATGTTTGGGGGAGCCTAACCCTCCCCTTACCTGGAACAGTGATGCATCAGCACAATATAAGAACAAATTTTACAAAAGAATAAACGAAAAACAAATATGATATACAGCAACAAAAGAAAACCACGGAATTGCAGCCTCCTACTTTGGGACAGGCACGTACAGAATGAGGAGGGGTTAAAAATGGTTGGGGGCGCGGTATACCACCAACATGCGACAATACATCATGTTCTGTGTTACAACCCTAGATTTATTTAGAGCTTGGCATATTGTATAGGCGCCTTTCTATATTTAAGGACTGTATGTCTTCCGTATAGATATCCTTATTAACTCATTTTGCTGCACCAGATGCGCATTTTAACAATTAATGTCGCATTAGTGATGCTCGAGGCTGAAATATTTGAAAATAAAAATCCTAATACAAATGTTGAAAGGCTGCTAACACCAAAGTAAAGCCACAACAGTAGAAAGAACTAGAGCTATACATTGCAATGGTTATGTGATTCGTTAAGTTTTGTCTGATTGAAAAGTGTTATTGCAGTTGGAACAAAATAAGAACATACCGTTACTCGGAAGGTGGGTAGAGTGTTACTGTTTTACTGAATACTTATATTTTGATACACATAATAAAATTCTATGAACTTTTGGCATATGTTTCTTATGAGTACTAAACTGACCTTCCCTAAATTTTGTACCTGGCTTTATATGATCATAACATTTTCAACTACCTGTTTACCGAATCCTTCTAGCAGGGGCGTCATAAGTAAACAAAAGCTTATAGTACATATTAGATCATATTATGCTATTAAGTTTCAGTTGTTGTTTCACAAAGAATCTCATTCATAAGATTGTTTTTTATATTTCATGTAGGCTTCGATAAACATTTATATAACTTAGTCTCCCACTGTAAACGATATTATTTGGCCAATCGACACCTATAAACATTAACATAAACAATACTACCAGGAAGGAAAAAAAATCATTCTGCAAAGTTTGTTTTTAAATGAGTGATCAAGAAAAAAAAAATCTGTTTAAATTGTCCAGATGTTCCGGTGTAAGAAGCAATTGCATTAACAAACATAAATCAAAAATGTTTATCAACTAAATATCAATCTCTCCACAGGTTAGCTCTGAGCAGTATAACGAAATAATCAAAACAATTTCTTCAAAACATCTGGTTATAGGACGACATTGTAGAAATCTTTGGTGGCCGACAATATGTTTCGCGTTTACCATTGTCATCCCAACACTAGGCTTCGGACTTGCATTTAGCATTCTTCAGTTCGATGTAGGATCTGATTATTATAAGGCGGGTGCTATCCTGTTGGCATTCCCTGCTGTAGTAGTGCTGTGGTTAGCTATGTGTGGATGCTCGGATTATTGGGTAATGTATTATTTATAAATGACAACTCTTATAATATTTATTTCGAAACAATTGTTTTATCAATTTAGCCATAAATTTAATTCGAAAAAAGTAAGTTAGGTTCCCATAATGATAATTAAGTACGCGTTGCGTGATCATAAGACTGATCAGTGGCGCTCAAATCGAAACATGGGGGAATTCAATTCACATATTTGCAATGAGACAACTCTCCACCAGAGACCAAATAACATATAAGTTAACAACTGTCGGTCACCGTACGGCCTTCAACAATGAGCAAAACCCATACCGCATATTCTGCTATAGAAGGTTTCGAAATTACAAATGTTAAACAATTCAATCGACAAAACTAACGGCATGATTTATGTAAAAAAAAACAATGAACGAAACACAAATATGATATACAGCAACAAACAACAACCACTGAATTACAATCTCCTGACTTTGGGACAGGCACATACAGAATATTTTGGGGTCTCACGTGTTAGCGGGCGCCCAACTCTCCCCCCTAACCTGGGACAGCGGTGTAACAGTACAATATATGAACAAACTATAAAAATCAGTTGATATTTATACATCCCTACAGCAAAACAGACATTCAGGACAGATCTGAGAGTACTCGCAGTTACTGACAGCTACTTCAAAGCCAATAATAACTAATAAAAAAATCATGCATCTAAGACTAAAGTATTAATCAGCACACATTCACCATCCAATGGATTTAGTGTAAAGATGTCATCAACAGTCAGTGAAAAACACGACATTGTGCAATGCCTAAATACATGTATCGACATATTGTAGAACCATGAATGTGCATATGTACATGTATTATATATGTATATAACAATAACATTACTTTTGTTTTTATTTACTGATAACAAAATCAATATCAATACCAATAAAAACAATATTTAAAGATCTAATTACAGTGTTGAAAAGGTAACCCTTTTAGGATAAGTTTATTTAAAGGATTGATTTGTTAACCCATATCCTATCTAAATTGTAAAGTATACATAAATAATTAAGACCCAATTAATCGACACACACAACTGCTTAGGTACATTTGTACTTCTAAAGTCCATTCCTCTTACATGTTATAATGTCTTCTTCAATGGACATATTATGTCATTACAATGTCACGTACATGTATACAGCATGTCTCGTTATATTCATGTTGTCTATTACTCTTCTTGTTACCATAGTGTTGTCTGTGTTTCTTCTACTTATGGTTACAAGTTGCTTCTGGTATTTTCTGCCTTTTTCAACACATTTATTCATCAAATGTTTATGATTACTTTTGAATAGAAATAATATTGCGTTTTAAAGTTTTGTTTACACCTTTTGCGTTATTTCTTCAAATGCAACACCTAAACAGGAACATTTAATAATTAATTCTGGTCATATTATACTGAGATTGATGTATTCTTAATTCTTTTTTTTTCACAGGGACGACGTGCGATGAAAATCACTTTGCGCGAGGTTAACAGGAAACTTCTACCAAATAAGGTCATGATCACTTATAAAAGACAAAGAACGACTGCTACATTTACTGTATCCACTTATGCTACGATTTAAAAACTTGTGTGTGCCCTCTACTTTTTTCTTTTCATTATTTTTGCTCTAAATGTTCCTTTTTAAAGAAACTCGTTCTATCTTGTAATGTAGCAAGAAATAGCATTGTTGAATTCAATATCGTATCGGACAGAAGAATTAACGAAAAAAAAAATGTGAGGATTCTACCAGTCCGGTAGCCTAATTGAATGAATACTAGTAGACTAAATAATAATATACTGGATGACACGTCGCCCAGGATAAAAATGTGTCTATTGGATGTTGGCAAGGACATAACAACCCAATTTTATCAGGTGTCCCCAGGAAGATCTTAAATGATGTAATGAAAATGACACATGTGCAGTCTTCTGATTACTCTTTGTACTATAAAATTCAGACAAGTTTGTTTTACATTTGGCCCTGTACTGTTCAACTTTCAGATATTTTAGATTTCAATGACAACTTTTAATTTTGCTCTATTTCCAAATGTACAGGTAACCAAAAAAAATGTAAAATCTGTGCTGTACTAATATCTGATAACTTGACCACCAAAAGTTACAATACACAGAGTCATGAGGATTTATCCCTCTTATAGTTTATGTGTTACAGTTTCCCTCGGTTTTAATTTGTAACCCGGAATTGTTTTTTTCACAATCGATTTTTGACTTTTGAAAAGCGGTATACTACTGTTGCGCTTTTTTACGTTCTTGCGAAAGAACGAAGAGAGAAAAGGGACAGGCCAAGACCTCATTATTCAAGACTTTCTTCAGAACGTTCAGTTGAGTTTTATTTAACATAATACGTTTTCCACAATTACAGAGCTAGGTAGAATGGTACCCACCATTACAACGCGTAAGAAAGTGTTGTACAAAAATGACATATCACTGCATATAGCATTTCCTTAACTTGATATCCGATTTGTTTTGTTTTCTTTGACATGACATCATGTGTAGTAAGTATTATACTATATATTGACTCTGCACGAATTTAATCAAGATAGAAAATATTTGTTTGTTTTTTTACAACTCACTCAGCTCCGCCTTTAGTTCTAAACAGATATTGTTTTTCCATCTTTTTTCTATGGAGATTGAGTTCCTTAATCAATTGTTTTTTTTTTAATTCAATATTTAGAAATAGCAAATTGAATGTCGATTAAGCTGCAGAAGCTATGGTTTGACAGAAAATATGTTAAGTTATTTCTTGAATACCCTATATTGAAACACCTAAATTGAATTATTTGTACTGGTTAATGCAACAATCATATGCCTTCTTTTAGAAAAAGAGAGTTTTTTCCAACTGTTTTGAGACTATCCTTATATGAACTTGTTTATATCACTGCTTTATCATAGAAAGCTTTAGGAAATAATTTTCTGGTGATGGTTGGCAAAAGTGAAAAAAATCATATACTATCCCTTCTTTCTCCCATATTAAACGAACTCGCATTTGGATTTGTTCATGGCATGAGTCAGTCAGCCAGAAACTTTTACCAGACGTCGACCACAATAACTTGCTTCAGAAGTCCGGATGAGAATAAGGTCTGTTCCATAGTAGTGATACATGACCACAACATATAGTAGTGTATGCATTTGTTGCAAGAAACATAAACATTTTGTCTGTCTAGCATATGCCATACAATGTTATGGCTTATATACTAGTCTCAATTTAACAATCGATTAACTTTTCAAGGAATTCATTATAATATGACGAGTAAGGTTTAAATACAGATACTGGGTACAGGAATGATTAGAATGACTTGAAACGGAGTATGTGAACTGTTCATGAAGGAAATATGAAAGGCAAAAAATTGAGAATCTGAATCGAACTCGAACATTCCTTGTTCGGCTTTCTCTTATTGATCCATATTAAACGAACTGTTAAGGTTAATTTCCTATTTACCAATGGAATTTATTATAGAATATGGTCAAGAGAATTAAGGTTAATTGTATAGATCATATCTTCTTATCATTTATACATTGCAATGATTCAGCATTTTTTTGTAAAGTCTTATGGCAGCTGTTCATTTAAACTGGCCATTTCGATTAAAATCTGTTAAAAAATGAACATTTTGTAGAATCACATGGCAGCAGAACTACACAACAAATGAATCCGAGAGAGTCAAAACCGTGAAATGGTAGTTCTTAATATGAATGACGATGATGATGAGGCACTATTAGATGATATAACTGGGGATTCAATTACATGTGACGAACAGGTATGGATATTTATCGTAATAGAACTAGCACTGGAATATTACCTTACATTTTTCTTCAAACTTCACGTAGACGAGATATCAAGAATTGGTCCGATGCTATGATTGCAAAATTATGGATAAAAGGGTGACCTGTCATTTCATTAGTTAACATAAGTTTTTGGAAGAACACATTTTGCAAAACGCTTTTTGAAAGTCAAGGATTTTTATTTTGACAACTAATTTCAGATGGGAAAATAATTTTAAATCGGTGTTCACATTCTGTTAGTAAAATAGAAAAAGATTGTGTTTTGCAATAATGTTTTGTTTTAGTTTCTTGATTTTAACAGTGTAATACATGTACGTAAACAATATTCACCTCAAATACTTGATATAAAACCACATGCAACTGTGTCCTCCTTATTAGGTTGAATTTTGAACGAGTTTTGGAAACAAACTGAGATATTTACATGAAGCCATATGTTTTAGAAATATCAGTTAAACTACCTTATGAAATCTACAATATAAATGCCAGTTCATGGTTTCGAACGCTCGGGTTATAACTTTTAAATTCAATACAATGTAAATTATTATCTGAAATAGGAAAGCTTCTGTCGACATTTTCTTCATGTTTTAGTAATTGTTTAAAATCCTATCGTTCTCAATCTATATTTTTATGTCTTAAATTTGTGTTCCAACGTCTGTTTCATTGTTGATCTTGTACAAGCAGAATTTGTTTAACATATGCACGAATGAATAGCTGTTTGATATATGTAAGACTGTATAGTTGTTTAACATGTTTACGACTATAGTTGTTTGACATATGCACGACTGTATATTTGTTTAATATATGTACAAATGTATAGGTGATTGACATATGTACGAATGAATGGCTGTCTGTCATAGGTACACCTGTATAGTTGTTAAACTTATGTACGAATGTATAGTAGTTTAAAATATATACGAATAAATGGCTGTCTGACATATGTACGACTGCATAGTTGTTTTACGTATGTACGACTGTATAGTTGTTTGACATATGTACGACTTTATTGTTGTTTCACATATGTACATGTAGGGATGAGTAATTGTTTGACATATTTACGTCTGTAAAGTTGTTTTACATATGTACATGTACGAATGAGTAATTGTTTGACATATATGTACGACAGTATAGTTGTTTTACATATGTACATTTACGAATGAGTAATTGTTTGACATATATGTACGACTGTGTAGTTGTTAAACATATGTATGGTTTAATGTTATTTTGACATATGTACGACTGTATAGTTGTTTTACATATGTACATGAACAAATGAGTAATTGTTTGACATAATATGTACGACTGTGTAGTTGTTTTACATATATAAGGTTTAATAGATATCAGAAGATGTGGTATGAGTGCCAATGAGACAACTCTCCATCCAAGTCACAATGTAAAAAAGTAAACCATTATAGGTCAAAGTACGGTCTTCAACATGGATCATTGGCTCACACTGAACAGCCAGCTATATATAATAGGCACACAAAATGACTAGTGTAAAACCATTCAAACGGGAAAACCAACGGTCTAATCTTTATAAAAAACGAGAAACGATATAATGTTTGTTTTACGTATGTACGACTGCATTGTTGTTTAACATATGTACGACTGTGCTTGTTTTTCATTTATAGATATATATGGAACGTTTGATGTTTTACATATTTTAACTATAATAGACACTTTTAATCACAAAAATGATTAGCAAGGCAAAATCTATTAAAAGTCAAATTTTGCAGATATAGTTGACAGACTGCCACTCTTCGTAGGAGTGATTGCCCTTAAATGGGGATTTTTCTATACCCTCTTTTGTGTTTTGAAAAAAGACAAAAGAAGATAGATATATACTAAACAGACTAAAAGATCAGTAATACAAGATCAACAAAATAGAGATTTTTGTCATGAAGTCAATTCTCGTCTACAATGTTTGAAAGTGTCTTTTGTTTAATTTGCACATAGACCAAATTGAGCGACACAGGCTCCTTAGAGTCTCTAGTTTTGAAATACGTTTGTTTGTGTGTATTACATATGTACGACTGCATTTTTGTTTAATGATTGAAAGACTGTCTATTTGTTTTATTTTACATATTTAAGACTCAATTAAAAGACTGCATATTGTTGTTTTACATATGTAGCACTGTATGTTTGTTTTACATACGTACGACTGTATAGTTATTTTACATATGTACGAGTGCACAATTGTATTACATATGTCCTAGTGTATGTTCGTTTTACTAATGTTCGACTTTGAGCATTAACTTTGTTGAAGATGCATGTATATACGATTGTATTTGCCTTACTTTTTATTATGTTTGTGCAGGAGTTGGCTACTAATGACCTGTTGGATTTATCCAGTGCCTACCTAATGGCCTATATGAATGAAAAACTAGACAATGCTGTAGACAATACAAGGCATGCAACAAAGGCAAAATGTATTTGTCAATTTGCTGAGTCACTTGAAATCAAAACAAACACAGATGTGTGAAGACGGAGAACAGATAATGCATACATGTACTCTGCCTTTATCTATCTATCTATATCTTTTGATGTAAATTCAGTACTGTATATCCAAATCTAAATACAATGACACATTAACTGTTATTATCTTGATGTTTTTTTTTTTTAAATGCGTACAACTGATTTTGATTATTCGATTCTCACTTTGTCAGAAAATTATTTTTACGTTGAAAACAGTCACATAAGTAGTTACCATTGATATGGTAAATCAGTAAGCAATTGACATTATACAAAGTTTTGTTAACATAGAATGTAGACTATGGATTAACCTTTTCTTTATACTCGACATATTTAAGAATTGTTGAAATCAAATTGGAAAGAAACAGTACGTTGGGAATAATCACGAGTAAGGTTTATTTTAAACACAAATCAAAATATGTGTTGACTTCTCAAACTCTGTCTGACTCGGTATATACCTTTTTTTGTGTATGTTCTGCGTTTTATTTTTATTTTATGATATTTCATTTACGATAAAACAGTCGAATACAAATGCATTTTAATGCTATTGCCAATGACACAAATAATTTTTTTTTCAGTAAATTTAAATTCACAATGTAAAAAGATATATTTGCGAAAAACTTTTTTCTCACGTTTGCTGTCTTTTAAGTGTCAAAATTTGTCCTTCTGTTTAAAGATAATTAACTGAAATCCAACTTGGATTTTACATATCGCTTTGTCCAACATGGGTTTTACATGTGGCTTTCTCAAATATGGGCTTTACATATATCTTTCTCCAACATGGGTTTTACATGTATCTTTCTCCAACATGGGTTTTACATGTAGTTTTGTCCAACATGGGTTTTACATAAAATTGAGAATGGAAATGGGGAATGTGGCAAAGAGACAACAACCCGACCAAAGAGCAAAATACAACCAAAGGCCACCAATGTATCTTTCTCCAACATGAGTTTTACGTGTATCTTTGTCCAACATGGGTTTTACATATAGCGTTGTCCAACATGGGTTTTACATGTAGCTTTGTCCAATATGGGTTTTACATGTATCTTTATCCAACATGGGTTTTACATGTAGCTTTGTACAACATGGGTTTTGCATGTAGCTTTGTCCAACATGGGTTTTACATGTATCTTTGTCCAACATGGGCTTTACATGTAGCCTTGTCCAACATCGGTTTTACGTGTAGCTTTGTCCAACATGGGTTTTACATGTAGCTTTGTCCAACATAGGTTTTACATGTATCTTTGTCCAACATGGGTTTTACATGTAGCTTTGTCCAACATGGGCTTTAAATGTAGCCTTCTCCAACATCGGTTTTACATGTAGCTTTGTCCAACATAGGTTTTACATGTAGTTTTGTCCAAAATGGGTTTTACATGCAGCTTTGTCCAACATGGGTTTTACATGTAGCTTTTTCCAAAATGGGTTTTACATGTAGCTTTGTCCAACATGGGTTTTACATGTATCTTTGTCCAATATGGGCTTTACATGTAGCCTTGTCCAACATCGGTTTTATATTTAGCTTTTTCCAAAATGGGTCCAACATGGGTTTTAAATGTAGCTTTGACAACCAACATATTCCGACGATGTGAATAAAAAAGTGTCATTGATATTGCAATTGAACAAAACGGGATTTGATAACAGACACTCAGTCAATGACATTAAGGGGACGCATTAAGAGCGTACACCACAACCAATGTGTGAATCTCTACTTTTGACATTAATTTAACAACAACGAAAGGTAAAGCCTTCTTTCCTCGAACCCTTGATCTCCCTGAATGGAAACAACTTTTGAATCGTGTATTGCCGCTTTTTATTTCAAGTAATGTTTTGCTTAATTATTATTATCACCATTAACGTTGACATGTTGTTGTCCAATGCACGTTTTGCATTCTTGTGATATAAGATTTTTCAGTATACGGACGAATTTAATATACCGTACATTGATGATAAACTGATAATATTATTTTAAATGTAAAAATCTGACTTCATTCGACGATCGACATGGCTACTTATATATGAATATAATATGTGTTTTCAGCCGTGTATCACCTTCACTGGTGATCCGATGGATAGACATGTTGTAGAGTTGTCACTTGTTTAGACGTACTTATCAAAATAATTATTTCTGTGATTTCATCCTACGATCCGTAACGATAATTAATAAGCTAATCTGCAATAAATTCCATCATCATGCCTAACATATCATGTGTTACAACTCTAGATTCTACCGACGAGGAAAGGTAACACTAGGCCATCGAAAGCTGAATTTTTAGTTCAGTCTAGGTGGCCGAGTGTTCTAGAGCGATGGACACAGTATAGGCGGGGTTGTCTCGATACCCAAAAAGCATGAGTTAGAATCACGGCGAGGGAAGAACCAAAATTTGCTTCCACAAATATGCAGATTTAACATTGTTGTGCTGATATTTAGAGTAGTTATAAGATATATTTTGTTACATCTTGTGATCCGTTTATTTGGCAATCGCCAATGGCAGTCAGCAGGGTTTAAGAACATCAGTTGTTCGACCTGCTAGTCAAATGCGTTTTGTTAAAATATACTTTTTCACTCATTTGGTCTTTTTGAAAATGTTGTTTGTGCTGTATTTAGACCCCTCTACCAAGAAATTTGTTTTGCATGCACACGTATAAAAATTGCGGTTTTTATCCAACGCAATCATAGGTTTGAACGTTGTTTTCAATTTAGACTTGTTTATATTTTTTCGTTTGGGCTTGTATTATATTTGCCTTCGGGTTTATATGATCCGTTCATCCTATTTTGACTCTTTCAAAATTCAAGAGTCTATCCTAAGTTAAGGTGAATTATATGGCCTTCCAAATGCCGTTTCGATTCCTAACATCACTGAAGAGACATTAATTGTCGAAATCCGGATATGGTGTACAAATTTTTGCACCTCATGTTTGCGGTATACCATCTTTTCCGCAAGTTTATTGTTTTCTGTTTGGTAATAAATTAATAATAAGATCTATTTTGTTACATCTTGTGATCCGTTTATTTGGCAATCGCCAATGGCAGTCAGCAGGGTTTACGAACATCAGTTGTTCGACCTGCTAGTCAAATGCGTTTTGTTAAAATATACTTTTTCACTCATTTGGTCTTTTGGAAAATGTTGTTTGTGCTGTATTTAGACCCCTCTAACAAGAAATTTGTTTTGCATGCACACGTATAAAAATTGCGGTTTTTATCCAACGCAATCATAGGTTCGAACGTTGTTTTCAATTTAGACTTGTTTATATATATATATATATATATATATATAGTGTCTAAAAATAGCGACAATCAACATTCAATCTATCTAGGCGTGGATCAGTTTGTATATAAACTGATGCATTTACTACATTAAATTATATAAGTGCCTAAGAATGTTACTTTAACACACTATAATGAGTGTTATATTTTATATTATTCACGCAATATTTCGCTAAACAAATTAGCTTCATCAGGCGCGTGCAGCCAACCAGGTAAAAGTTAGAGGCTGTAAAGGAATTTTTGCAGCTCAATGTTAAATGTCTAGAAAAATATTTTTGCCGCTTATTGTACATAGCAATTCTTAAATCAAAACAAATAGTTGTTTTAGTTAAATAGAATGAAGTTCAGGATTTATTCCTTTGGTTTTGGGTAGAACTGTTTTTCATCTCTCTCATTAAGTCCATCAGGTTCAAGAGTACGTAGCTGATGCATCCAGAACCTTTCTCTCTGTTTTCTCCTTTGGGAGTGCCAAAGTTTACCTCAATTATTTGAAAGGTGATATTTTCAAAAGTATGCCCTGTTCTTAATAGGTGTCTCGTAATTGGACAGTTTCTTCCTTTTGTATAAAAAGACCGGTGATTGTTAAGTCTGATGTTGAATTTAGTTTCTGTTTCACCAACATACTGCAGCTTGCAAGTTCCACAAGTAAGAATATAAATACTATTTTTCGTTTTGTGATTAGATGTAACATAGATGTGGTATCGCTGCTTTGTAACTGTGCTGCTGAAAGAGTGGTCAGTGTTGGCGACTTTACAGCACTTACAATTGATTCTTCAGCATTGTTTGTAACACCCAATTTTAGAAGTCTCTTGCTTCTTTATTTTAGATGTGACAAGTATGTCTTTGAGATTTTTGGGTCTGCGATAGGCAATAACAGGAGGTGATGGAAAAATTTCTTTTAAGGAAGAGTCATTTACGATAAGACGCCAGTGCTTGCGGATAGTAGATGAAATATTTGTCAAATCGGGATGGAAGGTGACAACAAACGGAATTCTATCTGCGCGGGTCGTCTTATCTTTGTATTCCCATTTTGCAATTAGATGTAACATAGATGTGGTATCGCTGCTTTGTTACTGTGCTGCTGAAAGAGTGGTCAGTGTTGGCGACTTTACAGCACTTACAATTGGTTCTTCCGTATTGTTTGTAACACCCAATGATTTCTGGATTTCTTTACAGCCTCTAACTTTTACCTGGTTGGCTGCACGCGCCTGATGAGGCTAATTTGTTTAGCGAAATATTGCGTGAATGATATAAAATATAACAACTAATTTTATAACACTCATTAGTGTGTTAAAGTAACATTCTTAGGCAGTCTAAAAGGGTACAACATCATCAAAAATAACAATAAAATGAACAAATGTAACTATAAATATTTCGGACATTTTCGGGGCTAAATCAACTTTCGTAGTATATAGTTGTATCCCGACGGCACAATAAACTTACTATTTCACGAATATCCAGTCAGTAAGTGTTTTATTATACCGAAAGAGACAACTGCAGACAATAAATGTCGGGGCTAAATCAACTATCGTAATATAAAAAGCAGAAACACAACCTTAATTTTTCACGTTTGATATTCTGAATGCTAAGGCGGCGTTTTTCCGACGCTATCAGGACATGGTTGATCGTTCAGATATTTAAAAAAATATAAAGAGATATGATATGTTAACCAATGTGACCACTATCTAGCAGTGACATAATGACGTACGTGTTAGCAACAATAAGTCAACGAACTGGCTTCAACAATGAGCAAAACCCATACCGTATAGCAAGCAATTAAAGACCCCGACATGACCAAATGTATATCAATTCAAACCAGAAAGTCAACGACCAGGTTTATGTAAAAAACAATAAACGA